TTAAAGCTTTGTATTGTAAGAATTAAAGAATGAGAATTAAAGAGGGAATTAAAGAATTAAAGTTGAGAATTAAAGCTACAGATACGAAACCCAATTACCGCGAAAGCCACTCACCGCGATGCTACTAGTTAAATACACTAAATGAATATTCCAATAAGTGGAAATTGAGTGTGAACCTTTCAAAAACTCAAGTTGTTATCTTCGGTTCATCAACATTGTGAGAAAAAAAATACCAATTCAGTTTTGGAAATGATAACATTCAAACTACAAACAGTTATACATATCTAGGAATCACAATAAAATCAAATGGGAGTTTTGCTGATGCCATGTCAAATTTAGCAGGTAAAGCTGGAAAATCAATTTACATCATGAACAAAGTACTTTTAGGAAATCTAGACATAAAACTAAAAACTATTTATCATTTACATAAACCAATTATGGGCCCTAGACTTGCAGGACATTCAGGACAATGTTAAATGCTAAATAAATATTAAATTCTGCAAACAAATCTTACAAGTAAATAACATATCCTGTGACTTAGCATCAAGAGCAGAGGTGGGTCATTATCCACTACTGCTCAGTGCAAAAGTTCAAGCTATTAATTACTGGTTGCATATAAGGGAACTCCCAGATGATAATCTAACAAAACAGACAAACCTAGAATAAACACAACACAATACTATACAATACAAATGGCTAAATGCAATACATACAATATTTAAAGACAATTCACTAAACTTCATAGAAGAAAAATCACTCACTGTCAAACAAAAAATAAAATTAATCAAGTTTTAAAAACTTCCCTTGAAAATAAATATGCCAGTTTCTGGAAAGAAATGATTTCCAAAGAAATTAGCAAACTGAGAACATATGCTCAATTTAAAACAGAATACTGTGGAATACTTTATTTTCGCTGGAATTAATTTTCACTGAAAAGGCTTTTTGGGCGTTTTGTATGTAATTTATTTTCACTGTTTTTTGATGAGTTTAATGTGAAATATAGGAAAAAAAAGATTTTATTTTCACGGAATCATTCCAAGCAAAAATAAAGTATTCTACAGTATATCTTTGAGCCATATTTGAATGAACTTGACACTCATTAGAGGAAAATGAATTTAGAATTAGTAACCATAACTTGGCAATAGAGAATGACAGATATTTATTTCCTAAGAAACCTATAAACAAAAGAATATGCAATAACTGTGACACAAAGTCAATTGAAGATAAATAACATTTTCTATTGCACTGCCCGAAATATAGCACACACACGGGAAACTTCAATTAAAAAATGAACTACTTTCATCGAACAATAAAAATATACAGTTATATACTCTCAAGCAAAGATCCTGGCATAATCATAGAACTTGCCAATTATATTTACACAACAAAAAGATTTATTTAACATTTAAATACTAGTTAAGTTCTTTTGTTTTGTTTTTTGTAAAATATTTTTACATATATCTTGTTATTACTTTTAATCTCTTTATTGCTGTACTTATCCTATGTAAAACAATATGTGATCATTTACTACTGAAGACGAATGCCTGGGGAACTGAGAAAAATTTTAATAACAAACTGTTGTTTATGTTAACTTTCAGATTTGCACAGTTTTTTCTTTGTCCATTGTTTAACAAAGACAGTAAGGATCGGGAAGTGAATGCTGTTGACTCTGAAAATCATAAAAATTTAAAATCTGATATGTGGAGGATTTTTCAGCTGGAGAAAGCAACAGCCGATTCTAGCCACCCGTATAGTAAATTTGGAACAGGTGAGTACCACTGACTAGATAAATAATTCACCATATTCACATTTCACTGTTCTCTAAATATTCAATCATATTCACATTTCACTGTTTTCAAAATATTCAATCATATTCACATTTCCTGTTCTCAAAATATTCAATCATATTCACATTTCACTGTTCTCTAAATATTCACCATATTCATGTTT